AATGAATAGGCTCTGTCCTCCCAGGTTCTGATGTGGCCCGCAGCCCTTGGTGCTCCTTGACTTGTGTCTGGGTTGTCCCCACCTCTGCCTTCATTGTCACACTTCTCTGTGTATATTTGTCTCCTCTTATAAGGGCACCGATTGTTGGGAGGGGGCCATCCTAATTCATTATGATGCCATCTTAACTTGGTGACTTTGTTTTCAAAGAATATTATCTGCAAGACTTTGTTCCAGATTAGTTCACAGTCACAGAGTTGGAAATGTAATTAAGGCTGCTTGCCACTGCCACATCAACCCGCTCTACTTGGCTTGTATAACAGTGTGGTATAATGTTGGGTTTTAAATTCATAGTGAATCGAGTACTAGAACTGGCTCAGCCATTCACCAGCTTGAACAAGCATCCTGCCTACTGATCCTTCTTCTAAAATGTGGTGATGTCTGCTGCCTCCTGGGACTCTAGGAAGGAATTCATGAGGCACTTGTGGACGTTTGGCCTGTAGGCCCTGTAATGATGGCAGCTCTTGCTATTTTAATATAACAGTTGACTGTCTGGGCAGGCAGGCACGCTGGGAGAGCATAGGAATAATGGAATCCAGTGGTGACCATACTGGAGAACCCAACAGGAAGTGCCAACAGAACACCAAATCCAAGGAGTGAGCAGGGGCCCTGGGGAACTAGACCTTAGTCTCCCAAGACTTTTTGTCCTAAGGCAAGACCGATTGGTGCCAAGTTGACAGAACTAAGACCACGAGATCTATCCCATCCTTAGCCTGCTGGGAGGTGGCCCAGGTTTTATTATAGGAACAAGTTCAGTGTCCAGGCTAAAGTCAAGAGAATTGAATATCAAGGGTCAAAATACAGAGCTGGAGTTTCATCCATGTAGGATCTGGGGCTGGAACCAAGTAGACAAGATCAAATGGCTTCGTGCGTGCAGGGGAGGTGGAGCAGGGCTGGATTGGGTGCATCCTGACAAAACCTTAGTGAATGGAAAGTTACTTCTAGGGATAAAACAATGTCTTTAGAAGGCATCCTGCCTGGCCTAGACATGTACAGAAAGGTACTTAATGAGACAGGAGAGGAACAGTATCACCTATAAGAAATGAAGGTATGGGGGGAATGGTCAAAGTTTGATTTGGTTTTGTTCAAGGTCGTGATTTTTGTAACATGAGAAGAAAGAACAAACTTCTCCAAGCCTCAGTTTCCCTCTGTAATAAAATGTGGGGTTGGAGCAGATGTTCCTGAAGGTGTCTCGTCCAGCTCTGACAGCCTGTGATTTCATGAATCATGCTGGAAGAAGTATGCATGAGTGGGAAGAGCCGCCAAGACTGGGCCTTTCATTCTGAGTAATGAACCGAAACCGCGAAGGCTTGACATCTGTTCCAATCTTTCAAGGGAAGTTGGACAAAATAATGCCTTTTTCAGGGAAATCGTTACCAACAGTGAAATATAGTATTTTCTGCCTAAGCCAAAAATGAAGTGGAGAATGCCAGCTTTCTTGAAGCCCAAGGGAGAACACTCATCTGAACTCCCAGAGAAGGTCACGTTGGCCAATTACCTTGCTGCCGTAGGCAAAGAATGCCATGGACGCTGCTGCTGCCCAACCCCATTAGATCCAGAAAGCAGGAAGAATGGAAGAGAGGTGCCGAAGACCCTACAAAAGACTGCTCCAGGGCCTGTGACTGGCTTCCTCCCCAGCCCTGGGAGATTCTTGCAGAATGCATTGTGTACAAACACTGTGATCTCATGCAGCTTGCTGTCAAAAGCCCAAGGACAGTCCTCCACCACTGACTTGGAGGTTCTATCTAAGAAACCACTGCAAACCCAGAGGCCATTCTAGAGACCAGCCAAAGACCAAGGCCTTCTATCTTTGGAGTTAAACAGTCTCCCAGTAGTACAGCATCCTCTGACAGGACTGGGCTAGGGGAGGCAGGAATCTAGACTCAAACACCCTTAAATCCTTCTCACCCCATCATTGTAGAAGATCCTAGAACTTCAGGACTAAAGGAGACCTTCAAGGTGCTCACCTTGACTTATGTGCTACCCAGTAATCATGTCTATACCTAAAGCAGGGACTCACTGTACCAGCTAGACCAGTGTCTGAATATAGTATGTCTTGATCAACTGTGTATTAGACAGTCTTTAAGGTCCCTAAACATCCCCCCCCCGTCCACTTGTTCATATTTTAAACTGAGAGGGTCCCAGGAGCTAAGGGAGCTGCCCTGTCCCTCTTTCTGTCCCTAAAAAGCTAGGCAAGTTCTAACTCACACACTCAAAAATCTATAAGGATGCTCCAGTATAATGAGCTTTTCCATAGTTTCACCTCCCTGTATTCCCTGGGGTTGATTTGTTTCACACTTATTTGTTTATTTGTTTGTTGCATACATACATGTGGGTATATGCTCATATCTACATGTCATGTCTCTTGTTTGGAGGTTAGAGGATAACTTGTAGGACTTGGTTCTCTCCGTCTGCCATATAGGTCCCAGAGATCCAACTCAGGTCATCATCAATCTTGGTGACAGGTGCCTTGTACTCCATTGGCCATCTTGCTGGCATTTTCCAGATTTTGAAATTTACCAAATCCTTGGGCCCCTGAGTATCTATGTTTGGGAGTAGAGATGGCATTAGAAAGAGAAACACTGGGGATACTAGTATCAGAGTATCTCCTAATTCCCCCAAGTCTGCGGTACTCACAGAGGGCCCTAGACCGGGATTTCACACATATTAGCCTTATCTCCTGATGTGATTTCTATTGAAATACTTGTTCCTATTCTGAGATAAGTGGAGTCTGAGTTAGTGCTGATATGATAAACACTTTGATTGATACCCATGTCCCCTACTACACCTTAAGAGCCATGAAAGCAGAAACTGTGACTGTTAGTGACAATTCTGTCTCTCTGGTTCCTGGTGGCTCTCATAAAATAGTGAGTGGGTGGAAATATGGGTGGGCTGGTGGATAGATGGACAGATGGATGGACGACTGATGGGTGTCTGGGTTGGTAGATATATGGATAAATGAATATAGATGGACAGATAAATGGGTAAGTGGGTAGTGGGTGGATGGAAGGATGGATGGATAATGGATGGACTGATGGGTAGTCAAGTAGGTGGTGATGGAAGAATGGATAGAGGGATAAAAGATGGTTGGGCAAATGGATGGGTTGGTGGGTAGGAAGAGTCAATCCAGCAAGTGGCTGCAAGCATTTCCTTGGCAGGGTCTTTCAGAAGCACGTTCCTTCCTGGCAAGGGGTCTTCAGTGATGGCCTTTAGGATCCCGCTTTCCTTCAGTTGTGCCTGTGTATGGAAGGGAAGTAATAACTTGATTCATAATTGAGACACAAATACCCACAGGAGCCTAAAAGGCAGCCTTTTCCAGGGAAGCACTGCTAAATATTGCAGAGTCTAAGAAGGGCTTTGAGACCAGGAGAGAATAGTGGGTCAACCACAGCCCTAGCATGCCGGAGCCCGGTGAGTATATAAGCAGATGCATGCTTACTGACATGCAGCCATGCACACGGAGTAGTGCAGACCTTCCCTTGGGAAAGAGCGGGCTTCATGAGAATCAGAATTCAAGACTGCCAGGAAGGGATCTGGAAAAGGCAGCATTGTGAAATGATAGGAATAGGAAGAATTAGACAAAGAGAAGGCACTATAGGCTGGGTGTGGAGGTGAGGAAATGGGCATAGGAACGGGACACTGTTTAATGAGGCCTTGCATTAAGAAAACTGCAGATAAGATGTGGGGGGAGAATTTTTTTAAATTTTTAATCAGGAAACCCTCAGACCAAATCTAAGAACACCCCTCATTAAGTTTGTGATGCAGTGACCTGTATTAACATATCATATCGCTAAATGCACAGATGGATGGACTAGCCTTCCTTTTCCTGCCTCCATGTTAACCCCTGCTAGTGAGGCCTTGGACTTGCTCGTTGAGCTTCTTGTCCACCCACACCCTCTAAGGAGTTTTGTTTGTTTTGTGTGTGTTCTGTGTAGTGGATGTGTGTAAGTGTACACGTACACGCATATATATCATTATCAATAGTGCTCCACTTTATTTATGAGACAGGATCTCTCTTTGAACCTGGAGCTGACCTACTAGCTAAACTAGGGGCCAATGAGCTCTGGGGCCTATAACCCCAGAGTGTTGGGGCGCCAAACTCAGGTCCTAATGCTTGCACAGCAAACATTTGACTGAGTCATCTCCCCCACTCCCAAAGAAGATGTTATCTTTGTCTAACTAGCTTAGGATCCGGTTTTAGGATCTAATGACCATCCTGAGTGGGCCAAAGTGGTCATGAATTGACTGAGGGGGGAGCTGAGTTCATCTGACACAGTACCATCCTGAGGCGGGACCTCAAAGGTACCCACTCTCTCTATGCTTTTGTCGAGGCCCTCTTCTTCAAGCCGTCAGCTCTTGGAGAAGAAAGCTTAAGTTACCCTGTATTAATGTGTGTATATCTTGTCTCCCCCACACCCTGGGCCAGGAGGGTCAGTCAGTGTTGAAACTGAACTGTGAATAAATGGGCAGGAGAGAAATTTCAGTCGAGGATCTGTGTTCTGTTCCCAGAACCCATGTCGGGGAAAAGGTCAGGTGTGCTGGCACACGTATATAATCCCAGCGCTGGGGAGGCAGAATCAGGCAGATCCCTGGAGTTTGCTTGCCAGCCAGCCCGGGCTACTGGGTGAGTTCCAGGCCAGTGAGAGAGTCTGCCTTAGTAAAAAGGTCAGAGCTGGGGAGATGGCTCATCTGTTAAAGGCTAAGGCTCACAATCAAAAACCAAGGTCAATTACAACTGAGAAATGACACTAAGGTTGTCCTCTGGCCTCCACATTTACACACACACACACACACACACACACACACACACTGGACATAAACAGGCATAGTTGCCTTGGACTAAGGCAACTAACCTGACCCCAGTCCGTGATCATGAGGGGATTCTCCATCACCTCTAGCCCAAGGTTTTGCTCATTGTCTGTCTGCCTGTGGTCTTGTTACAGAAAGCAGATCTGGCTGTGGCCCCCTTAACCATCACCCATGTCCGAGAGAAGGCCATCGACTTCTCTAAGCCTTTTATGACCCTTGGAGTGAGCATCTTATATCGCAAGCCCAATGGCACCAACCCCAGTGTCTTCTCCTTCCTCAACCCCCTTTCCCCGGACATCTGGATGTACGTGCTCCTCGCCTACCTGGGTGTCAGCTGTGTCCTCTTCGTCATTGCCAGGTAAGGCTGTGCCTTGGCAGAAGCCCTGGGCCAAGCTGGAAAGCATAAGAAGCTAGGCAAGTTCCCCTTGGCTCAGATCCTTTGCCCCTTCAGGGAATGTTCCATGGCTCCCTGGGCTTGAATCATCCAATCTTCCCTCTGGTCTGAGTCTGTGACTCAGAGATGGTCATTGCATGCTGGTGCCCAGAACAGGCTGAGAGAAGCCTGACCATTGTTCAGGACTGCACCATGTGAGCTGGGCACCTGGGATGGCAGACCAGACCCAAGTGCATAGCATGACCTAACGAGTGGTTTAAAACATGGAAAACAAATTGTGTCTAAGCCGTCCACACAGCAGGAGAACTCGTCACCACCAGCTACACACATGCTACATGCAGAAACATGGCACACAGACATGCATGCTTGGGATCCATGCTTAGGCACTGCCTCATTCACACTGCCTGCTGAGAATCCATGCTTGCACAGAGCCTACCCTTGTTGTGCTGTTCATTGGAAACAGATGAAGTACACCCTTGCTAATGGTTACTGAAAGTATGTCACTAGGGAAACAGATAAGGCCATGTTTATCAAATACCCAGTGTTTGTCAGGCACCGTGTTCTGCCCCTTGCCACCTTTCCGTTTTCTCTGACAGCCTCCCTTAAAGACACCCAAGACTTTGGCCATACAAGCAATAAGTGAAACATCTAAGATGTGAACTTAGTTTCACTGAGGTTTTGTCTGGCATTCATGCCTCTGGTCACTGCTTGGCCCCCACCTCAAGCTCCCCAGCCCCTCCCAGCTGGGCTCTCTGCCCCTTTCTCCAGACCCCATCCTCGCCCCCGCTCTGGGTCCTTTTTTCCTCTAAAGCCTAACATGGTGCAAAGAGAAAGTTCTCTGGAGAGGCAATTTGAGATCCAAGGACCTGGTGTTTCGCCTTTTTCCTTTGAAAGCCCCCGCTCCCCTCTGTGCCCTTCACTCTCTGCCCCCTCCCACACAGAGAGAGACCAAAGGAAAAATGTGAGAGGCAAAGTCACCCAGCCTCCCAAGCCTTTGCTGCAGAGCTGAGTGCCGATGCTGCAGCTGCCCTGCCTGCTCAGCCAGCCAGCAGCGAGCCGAGCCGTCACAGAGAGACCTTCATCACGCCTCTCGTCACTAATGGCCTAACAAGCCTTTGAAAGCTGAGCTGCTCTCTTGCGCTCTCAACGTAATTTTCTCGAAGCTCCAGTGGCCCCTCAGCCACCCATCCCTCTGAGACAGGAGCATTTCCAGCATTATTCTGTCTTTTGATGTGTGATGTGTGTCTCTTCTCCCCTCAGACATGGGCCATCCGTCCAGCCTCTCCCTTCTGGCTAGGAAGACAGGATGAACACCTCCCTACCCACCCCCACCCTGGCACACCAAGGCTAGTCTGGAATGCTTAGGAAAAATGGGGTTTTCTACTGTGACCAGGATGCCATGAGGTACCCATAGAGGAAAGAGAAGGATAAAATTCTGGGCCACAGACCTGACAAAGGGTATCTAAGCGCACTGGATACCCCATGGAACACTCAAACAGCACGATTCACAACCATCGTGTCTGCCCTTTATAATAGTCCTGTAAGGTGGGGAGAACTAGCCCATGTCACAGAAGCAGAAACAGAGGCTCAGAGAGGTTACATCAAAACCCAAAGTCATAAAGCTTTCCTTGGCAGGGTCCCATTTAAAACTGAACACAGGACTGGGCATTAGGGAGCTGGAAACTGCAGTGCACACAGGTGGCTCAAGGGGGTGCCACTGGGCACCTGCAGGCTTGGGGCTGCAGAGAGCCAGCGCCAATGAACTTACCATGATGCCTTGTGGTTCCCTCTTGTCTTCTGCACTGTAAGGGTCCAGTCCCCTCCTACACTGTAAAATTGGTGCCCAGTGCTGTGAATCTCTTTGGGTGGGGAAACCTCAGCCATTGAGAATATCTAATTACCAAAAGGCCCCGTCGTTTATCAGAAAGCTGTTCTCTCTGGGAACTAACTTGTCCTGTTAAAGCTTCACCGTTGATGCTTTGGAACCCAAAATGCCTTTACAGCAGAGCCCAGAGGGCCCAGCTACCCTCTGTGTTGGTGGCCACAGAGATGCACCCAGGACTTTTTCTTTCCCCCAGCAGTGGGAACTGGGTCAGCTTCACTGACCACCAAAGAGGGTCAGTGTGAGTAGTTGGAGGTCACAGGCTGATTCTGAGGGGCCAACGCCCTGGAAAGGGGTTACAGCTTTCTACAGAGAAATCTCTATGACAGGATCCCTGGGGTGATACGGCATTTTTATGTTTAAAAATTGTGTGTGTGTGTGTGTGTGTGTGTGTGTCTGTCTGTCTGTCTGTCTGTCTGTCTGTCTGTCTGTCTGTCTGTCTTGTCTGTCTGTGTTTGTGTGTTTTATTAAGAGCAGGACCTAGGGCTGGTGAGCTGGCTCTGCTGGTAAAGATGCTCTTGGCTCCCAGCCTGAAGACCTGAATTATATCCCAGGGTCTCACATGGCAGAAGGAGAGACCTGACTCCTGCAAGTTATCCTCTGACCCCCACACGCATGCCATAAACAAATAAATGTAATACAAATCTTAATAATATAAATAAATAAATAAATAGCTGGGGACTGGAGATATGGCTCAGGGGTGAAGAGCACTGTCTGCTCTTCCAGAGGACCCAGGTTCAATTCTCAGCTCCCACATGGCAGCTCACAACTGTCTTTAACTCCTATTCCTGGGGATCTGACACCCTCACACAAACATACATGCAGGAAAAACACAAACTTACATAAAAATAAAGTAATTTAAAAATAAATAAATAGCTAAATCCTGAGCACTGCTCAGAACTCATCTTTCTTCTGATCTCAGCCCTCCAGCCAGGAGAGATCCCCGAGGATCTTGGTCTCTTGGTCCCCAGTACAAACCATCACAGCCTTTGGTTCACTGTTAGGTCAGTCCTAGGTCTCCCTGCACCACAATTTTGTTTCTGTCTAGAAGCTGAAGGCTGAGGTTCCATAGATTTTGTGAGAGTCCTGCCTTAGTTCTTTCATAATTTCTCCTTTAGCCCCCAAGGTGGGCCTCCCAGGGCTGTGCCTCCTTAGGTAGTCCCTTCTTCCCTCTGCTCTGGGTCTCCAGTGGCCTATAGCCTCTGCCTACTAAAGTCCATTGCTTTTCTAACATGGAGCCAAGGTGGACCTGGACCAGGTTCCAATCTGTGTGGACTCAGTGGGAAGGCATTGTGTACCCAGTACACCTAGATCTAGTGGACTCTGGACCTGAAGCAGGGACTCTCCTTCTACCTACAACACAAGTGCCCACCAGGCCTGGCCCTCCAGACAACTCAGGTTTGTCTGCCCTGCCAACAGAATCCATTCTGGGCATCCAGCTCTCCAAAGGCTTTCTCTTACATCCCCTCCCCAAAAATGTCTCTCAGCCCTCTCCCCTGAACCTCAGCCTCTTCCTTGGGGATTCTAGAGCCTCTAACATCTTATTGCCCATCTCCTTTGACAATGCTAGCATTTCCATCTGAAGGAGCAGCCTGCTTCCTGAGAACAGAACTGTCCTCATCTGAGCCCAGGGAGCACCAAGTGATAGATAACACTCCCACTTTGAGAAGAGAGCTGGAAAAGGCATGACACAAGTTACCATAAAGGACTTCACATGAAAAACTTAAAGAAAATATGTTTTTGTTTAAAAAAAAATACAGAAGACAAAGTCTGTCTTTCTTTGCTTCCTGCATCCTACCTCACCCCATCCCCCTGTACACACACATACAACTGCCCCATCCAGTCTCTCCATCTCTCTGCATCTTCAAACTGACTCATTTGCAGGTAGAATTCAGCCAGTCAACCAGGCTTCCTTCCCTGCGTGGGAATCCTCTTCCCTAGAAGGGGGAGGGGTGGGGTAGGGACTTTAAGCAACTTTTTCCTGTCACACCTATGTTCATATACTCAAACACAAAAGCCTGAAATGCAATCCCACATTGTTCTCCCCATGGGGTAGGATTCTGGGACATTTGTGCTTTCTCATCATATTCTTGTATACTATTTGAATATTTTATAATGAATGTGTTTTCACTTTTTATTATACAAGAAATTCAAATGCATTTTCTCATTTTCAAAAAAGTCATATAGTACAAGTGAGGCAACAGGTTTGGCTGAAATTCCTTTTGCCCTGCTTACCCCTCTCTGCAGAGGCACACACTGATATTCTCATAGATGGAAACTTCTAGACCTCTTAGTATACTTCACAGACACATTTACCTACAGAGCTGTATGGCTGTCTTAAAAAAATCTATAGCAATGCGATTGCATTGTTTTGATTTTTGATCGCTTTGCATCCAATAGTCTGTGTTGAAACGCTCTCCCTGTCTCGGGACATCTAGAAGCATGCTGCTGTCTTTAACATCTGTGTGATATTTCTGTGTGGCTGTGGCATGGTGTATTTAATCATCCCTCTACTGAAGGACATTTAGGTTATTTTCAGGTTTTCTGCTATTGCAAACAACACTTTGATAAACATCCTTGAGGACTTCCCTTTATTCGCTGGTATGAGTGTTTTTCCTACTTGGATAATGACTTGCAGTTTCCCCAGGTAGAAGGGCATGCATGCTTTTAATTTGAAAAGGTGCTTTGGAATTACTTTATAACCAGGAAAGGGCACTGGCAGTAAAGGACAGGAAGAAACCTGGTCCCAACTGGCCCTTGCCTATCACTCCAGCCAGACAATAAGGAAAGGGACCCTGGAGTGGTTGTCAGCCCACACTGGTACTTGTTACTTGCTAACTGGCAGCCTCCTGGAGCCTACTCTCACTGCTTCCCTCTACCCTGCAGATTCAGCCCTTACGAGTGGTATGACGCCCATCCCTGCAACCCCGGCTCCGAGGTGGTGGAGAATAACTTCACATTGCTCAACAGCTTCTGGTTTGGAATGGGCTCCCTGATGCAACAAGGTGCATGTCTGCCCTCTCTGTGCCTTCTCACCTAAGGAAGTTAGCTTTTCTCCCCAGTGGGTCCTTTGGTCAGCTGCCCTCAGGCGGCAGCCTCAGACCCCAAGCTGTCAGAAGGTTGGAGACACCAAGGATGCAATGGTGTGTGCCTTCACATCTGATTCACACCCTGCTCCATTGCTCTGGCCCAGAGCCAGCTGCGGGTCTGAAACAGGTCAGCCACCCCAAGCTGTGACATGTGAGAGGCATTCCCAGTACCTTCTCCTGTGGTCGAGATGGAGCAGAACACGCTGCCTACTGGATTGACCCTGGTGACTTCTCCACGTCCCAGCAAAGTTGATCCAAGCAAGCAGGGGGATGGGACCACAGAGGCAGAGAGTGGGCAGGAGGAGCTGCAGAATAGTGCTGTGAGGGTACATGGCTGAGGGGACTAAGAACTCCAAGTAGTTAGGTGAGGGCTAGGTGAGGTTCACCGAGGTTGGGGCTTCTGCCTGAGTACATCAAACAGTGTTCATGGAAGAAGATGGTCTTCCCCAAGATGACTGACTCTGACCAAGGATTCAGCTCTTTGGAATGTCTGGAGATGCTTAAATGTGTAGACAACCGCCAAGCATGGGTAGCTCGCATCTGGGATTCCAGCATTTGGGTGACTGGGACTAGGAGATTACTGTGAGTTCAAGACAAGCAAGGCCCTGTCTCAAAAGGCGGGAGGGTGTAGCAAGATGATAAAAGTGCCGCTGCCAAGTCTGATGACCTGGTGAGAAGCAAGTGTCTACGCTAACTGCAAGGACCTGTCCTTCACACTCCCATGTGAAGCCTTAAGACCCAGCGCAAATCCTGCCCTTCGGGAGGTATGATGAAGATTCCAGATGAAGAAAGAAAGAGACGAAGGAAGGAAGGAAGGAAGGAAGGAAGGAAGGAAGGAAGGAAGGAAGGAATATTTTACCAGAAATATAGATCCTTAGTGTCCATCACACAGCCATCCACTGGGCTGTGAGCACTGTGTTGCTGTGAGTGTGGCAGATGACGAAGTAGACCTGCCTCACGCCCCATCGGTGGGCTCCAGCAGCTGGGGAGTGACAAGCAGCTTTCATGACAAGTGCCACCATCTGTCCCCACTATTAACAAGCGTCCTGAAGCCTCACCTTCCTTCTTTGCCCATCATCTTTGTTCAGTGACAGCTGAGAAAGACCTGGAAGCCCCTTCACTGCAGTAATAACTTCTCTGCTGCTGCCTGCTGCTACTCAAGTCCAGGCCCCCAAAGCATTCCCCACATGGTTTTGATTAGGAAGGGGGGGAAACTAGGTATGTATTTGAAAAACTCTCCCTTGAGTGGCTTCTTTGAGAAAAGAAAATCATCCATATCAAAGCAGGCACTTTCAGATTGCAGGTCCAAATATTCCAGAAAGTTCAGGAGTCACTCACTATTTAAATCTCTTGAAAGCCGCCTAGTTAATTACTTCAGTTAGAAGGGTTCGTCTGAATTGTGCTCCACACACAAGGTCGGGAAGAAAGACTGATATATTTCAGCAAAGAGCTTCCAAAATGTTGATTTTTCTTCTCCTGCCAAGTGCCTTCCAGCAATTTCATATTTGTATACTGCTCGTATTTCTGATGCATCTCTCTTCAAATTATACCATTGCAGAATCGCAGCAGTTCTGTGAGGCTGGGGCAGAGGAAGGACAATTCTTCATCCTCTGCAGAGTCCAGAATGAGAGACTTGCCTGGCCTCAGATCACCCAGAGAACCGGGAACAGGGTTTTCTTTCAGAACCCATAGATTCGACCCCTGTACGGTGGTCCACCGATAGGCATCCGAGGGTCTGAGGAACCTCTGAAATGGTGTGTATGCGTGCGTGCGTGCGTGCGTGCGTGTGTGTGTTGAAAATGTAAATTATTAAATACCAGCCTGGATCAGACTCACTGAAGGGCTGAATGCTCACATTGCCCATCCCTCCCCAACCTCTAGTTTTTTATTGACTCTTGAGGTGAATCAAAGAATTTGCCTTTAAGTCAAGTTTCCAGTGATACTGAGAGACAATGGGGCCGATCTGCTAGTCTGGAGAAACGGTCTCGGGGCCTATGTGGGTATCCAGGTAATGTCGTGGTCTACACATTGTAAGGTATCTCCTCCCTTCTCTCAGGCTCTGAACTGATGCCCAAAGCTCTGTCTACCCGTATCATCGGCGGCATCTGGTGGTTCTTCACACTCATAATCATCTCCTCCTACACGGCCAACCTGGCTGCCTTTCTGACTGTGGAGCGCATGGAGTCACCCATAGACTCTGCTGATGACCTGGCCAAGCAGACCAAAATTGAGTATGGTGCTGTCAAGGATGGGGCCACCATGACCTTCTTCAAGGTGAGACTCTCTTTTTCCTTGCATCACCTGGACTCCTTACTGAATAGAAAAGGGGAGCTCTGCCCCTCATTCACTCACTCACTCAGTGGAATCCAGGGGCCTGAAACCACAGGTCTCAGCTCCTCCCTGGTGAAACCAGTTGACTCTAGGGAGCTGTGGTGATAAGCCATGTAGATTGGTCTCAAGCTCTGAAAGTTTCTGGGGCAAGCCATGTGAATCATTGGAGGAAGATAAACAGAAAAAGATTGGATGAGGCAGAAGAGAGATGGTCCAGTTCCAGACAGTCTTGGGACCATTGGAACCCTACTCTTGGCTTGGGGTCTTAATCCATCCATCTCCAAGAGGCTGATTTGGAGTGGATGAGCTGCCCATTTCCAAGAGCAGAAGACACAACCCCCTCCTCTTAGAATGTCAGTGTCTTCAGAGAAAGTCCCTGTCACCTGCCCATGTGACTGCTTTCACAGGAGCCATGACTGTTGCTCTCCAAGCTTTGAAAGCGTTGACTCAATTTCACCGTTTTCCCTATCCTAGTTGAGGTCAAGGGTACTCTGCCTGAGCCCAAGAAGCAGTAGGTTCAATGTACTTCTAGATAAGTAACAATAGCTGCGGCCCTGAGCACTCACAGTGGGCCAGACTCTGCTCCGCTATTAACCTTCTCAAACCCTGTGAGATCAACACTGCGATTATTATTCCCAATCCACGTGAGGAAACTGAGCCCCTGGCAGATCAGTGGCTCATCTGAGGATCACATCTGGAGGAACTGGACCCCATCCTCCTCTGCTTCTCTCCAAACTTAGGGACTAAACCATTGGTGGTGGGACTTGAATGTGTGTCTGAATGCCATGGAGCCTATATCATCAGAAAGACTGAGTACTGGTATACACACACACACACACACACACACACACACACACACACACACACACACACACACACACACAGAGTGTCTGACTCAAAATGAGTCTTCTGGGAGGTTATAGCTTATTTGATAGAGTGCTTGCCTATTGTGCACAAAGCTCTGGGTTCAATTCCAGCACAGCAAAAATGGTATAGCAGTGCACACCTATAATCTAGGCTCTCTGGAGGTAGAAACAGAAGGGTCAGCAGCTTGAGGTCATCCTCAGCTACATAGGTTGTGGGGAGGCCATCCTAGACCCCATGAGTCCCTGAAGAGAGAGACAGACAGAGACAGAGACAGAGACAGAGAATTCTAAAAAGTTCCCAGATGCTGCTGGAGCTGCGGCTGAGGATGCTTTGAGAAGTGGCCCTCTAATTACCCCGTGGAAGGAAGCATCAGACTTTGGGAACTGTGTGGGTGCATCCATTGACTTATTAATCAGCTGCCCTCTGCCAGTCTGGAAGCCTGTGTATCTCCCTTTACCCTGGGCTCTGCTTCTTCAACCCTGAGCCTTTGCCTCTTTGGAGACTTCAATAAAAGGGATGAGCCCCAGTGGGGCCTGAGCAAATAAAGGAAGAAGTTAGAGTGTAAAATGCTCCATCCCATGGGTGCTCCATCCCCAGCACTTTCTGCCAGCTCCCTGTCTCTCTCCTGAGGCCGGGGCAGCTACTTAGTGAAGGGGGAGAAGGGAAAGAGACTTAGCTTTGCCCATGGCTACTGCCACGGGAAGCTGGTCACACCATCTGCTGGGGCGGGCACAGTGTGCATTGAGATCAAAGGGAAATAAAATGTTGTCAAAGGCACAGCAGGCACTTGTTGAAACCCCATGAGTGTGAGCAAGGCTGACAGTATGCCCATACATGTATGATTATGTATAGAGTAGATGACACATGTAAATGAGCATTTTGCTCATTCACACAAGACATGCCTGAGTGTCTGCCTGTATGTGCACTGGTAGATCTGTGCTTGGGTGTGAATGTTTGCATTTGTGTCTGTAAATGAGCAAATGCATGATCGCCATCTAGGAATGCATATGTGAATCTGTGAGTACACACAAGTGCATGCCAGAGTATCTGTGTGTGTATGTACACCAAATGTCATATACTTAAATTCCCCGTGTGGTGTGTGTGTGTGTGTGTGTGTGTGTGTGTGTGTGTGTGTGTGTGTGTGTGTGGTCATGCACACATGCACTACTGCATGTGCGTGTATCTGTGTGCCTGTGCACATGTGTGTATGAGTGTGATGACCCATGTACACGTGTGCCTCTGTCTGTATGTGTGTGCTTGCACAGGAACATGCCTGCTCACACTCCCTGTCCTCAGGCCACAGCCCAGCCCTTTGACTACCAGAGTTTCTCATGAATTAGGCATGAGCCTGTCTCTAAGCAGGGCTCCCGATCAAAGCGAAGTGGCATAAATAAGCCCAGTGCAGGCTCATCTCGGCTGATTGGAGCCCCCGCCTCCCTCCATGCAGAGATGCTCAGATTGCCTTCTCAGAGCAGAATCCCAGCTCCCTACCAAGCCTCAGTCCTCAGCATCGAGCAGCCACTGCACCCTCTCTCTCTCCTCCCCTGCAGACAGCACAGGGAGGAGGGCAGTAGAGGGACCTGCTCCCCAGCCAGGACTCTGAGGCTCCAGGGCCCATTAGCGGGAAACAGCAGCTGAATGTCGCCAGGCAGGACCAGCCCCATTTCCATGCTCTCCTGACATCAATTAATCCTTCTCTGCAACCAGCCACGTTGTCCCAGGTCTGTGCCCACACTTTACCTGTTTCTCTGTTGTTCTCCTCCTAACAACCCTATAAGACAGGTGAGTATTGTCCCCTCCATGTTACACACAGTAGAAGCAAGGCTCAGAGAGGCTAACTGACTTGCCTAATGACACGCAGCTAGACAACTGCAGAGCTGAGATTTGGATCACACCTGACTGTAAAGCCTATATTCTTTGTCCTTTCAGTCAGTTTCTCTCAGGATCCCACCACAGTCCTCAGCAGTGTCCCTTGGGGAGGAACAAAGTCATGGTGGTTTGGGCCATGCCCAGCACCATCTTGACACATTGTAGTGGTTCAGAGGACTTATAAAATTGAGTGTCTGGTGCTGTGGAAGAGGTGGAATTGAAAGGTGGCAAAGCTAAGAGAAGCCAGTGCAGGAGGCTGTGGTGAGTGTAGGCACCAAGGAGGCAGCACCCACCCCATACATGCATGCATGCGTGCACACGTACACACACACACACACACACACACACACACACACACACACACGCGCGCGCGCGCGCACACACACACACACACACACACACACGCACACCCCAAGTTTAAAACAAGTTATCTTTGTTTCTGTGGTTAGCATATTCCTGGTTAGGTGGTACACATGGGGCTAGGGAGATGGCTCAGTTGCCATGTAAACATGAAGACTTGAGTTCATATTCCCAGCACCTATATAAAAGCTAGGCATGTTGGAACCCACCTGTAGCCAAGTATTGGGTGTGGGGTAGATAGAGAAGGACCCCTGTACCTCAGAGGCCAGACTGTCTAGGTAAATCAGTAAAGCTTCATGAAATAAAGAACAACTGAGAAATATACCAGATATTGGCCTCTAGCCTTCACAAGCTTGCATATATGTGCACACAGTCGAGCATGTAGACACACCCCAAAATAAATAAGTAAATACGCTCCCATGGCTAAGAGTAGAACATGAGAAAGGGAATAGCAGGAAACAAGACACCCAGCTTTTGGGCCCTGGGCCCCTTGAACTCAGCCAGCTGCTTGCAGGAAGCTGCATGGCTAGAGTCTGCCCCTTGGCTCTGAAGGAGGTTTGCTGGAGGAATTGTCAGGGAGCAGCAGACATCACAAACACCGTCTTCTGTGTTGTCCTCCCTCCGTCTTGGAAGATAAAAATTAATTAGGAGATGAAAAAGGAGTCCTTTGAAAGCACTGTTTGGCTGTAAAAATATGTAGGCAAAAATGTAAAGGAGGCTGTGGGGGAGGTGAGCTCCTTGCAGGGGAGCTGGGCGGCTTTGAAGGGAGAAGATGCTGGAAGAGATTCTGCAGGGATTGTGGCCTCTTTGAGTGGTGAAGCTGGGAGCTCAGCACAGTGGGGCTGTTAGGGGAAAGCATGGTAATCTGGAACCTCAAAAGCCAGGCTCCCCAGTCCTGGGCATGGCTGAGCCCTCCCCATTACACAGTCTCAACTGCAGCATCCTACCTGGAAGGGGCTTGGAGGGGCTGGCCTGCATCCCTACACTCCAGCTGAACAGTGATGCTTCCCCGAGCTGGAGGGCTCAGGAGGCTACCCAGACCTCAGCTCCCAGTCCCTCCCTCTGCTGCCCTCCTTCACAGCTTTCCACCTAGCTTGCAGCAGAAGTGGGGCAGGAGGATCAGACAGTAGTCAGTCTGGTCCAGCCTGATGCAATCAAACACCATGCTTTAAAATTAGAACCGCCGGGATGTGTATTGGATGGTGTCTCTAATGAGTGGCTTTGTGCAAGTCACCTCATTGCTCCAAACCCCAACTGGCTCACCTAAACAAATACTGATTCCTACCTATGACCCTTCGCTAGAGGATTCAGTGAGCTCCTAGACCTTCAGTGTTCATCAGGGGCAGTGCGTAGCTGGCCCCGAAGTCACCTCCGGAGGCAGATAACTCAAGCAGAAAGCACCTTTGACACCTGGAGACTTTCCTTTCTCTGGGTCCTCCAGACTGAGCCTAGTGGGCTTTGTGGTAGATTTCGGTGCCTGTTATCATGACCATGTGCTTTTACGCAGAGAACATAGAGGAAACTGGGAGTTGGTTCTTAAAACAAAAGGATTCTATATCTGGGAGGCAGAGGCAGGCAGACCTCTATGAGTTCTGGGTTAGCCTGGTCTACATAGTGAGTTCTAGGCCAGCGAGGTCTACATTGTGAGACCCTGTCTCCAAAACAAAAAAGAAGGATTCTAGAAGGAGCTGAGAGAAAGAAAGCAGCAGGTGTGGCCTGGATGGTTCAGGATCGTAGGGAAGTAACTGGAAATTCCTATGCTTCCCAAGAACTCCCTGGGTCTCAGTTTTCCCTCCTGTGAACTGGATGTGATACTGTCCTCTCTTTGCAGAGTTGCTGAGTTGATT